TGCCCGCAGACAAAATTGAACTTTCAACACAAGAGCGGTGTAACGCTTGTTTACACTGGTTACACGTGAACGCACACCAGGTGAGAATAGCCAAAAGGTGAGAGGCCTACAACAGCGCTATTCTCACCCAGAGAATAGAGGGGGCCTTGTCTTTTGGCCGGCTCTATTTCTCCGAACGATCGGGAAAATAAACTTGAACTCTATTTCTCCGAACGGTTTCCGTTCTCAAGATTTGTTGATAATAAGCGAATGGAGTGGCCGGTGTGTGTGTGTGTGTGTGTGTGTGCGTGTGTGTGAGTGTGCGTGTGTGTTTGAGCGTGTGGGTAAGGTGTGAACTGGGCGGGGGGGGGAGGGGGGGGGAGCGTGGAGGGATTTTTTTTTTACATGAAAGATTTTAGTTTTTGCTGGGTGACTTAATGCAAAATAGGTTACTGCCAAGGTCGATCAGTCTTGTTTTCTCGCAGTACCTTTTGAAGGTATTTTCAAATGAAGTGTAGTCCGGGAACGTTGCCCCAACCACAACTGAAGTATCTGAATATTCAGACATTTAATTAAGAATCTCTAGCTGTAGAAATTGAATTCGATGCAAAAAATGCTTCTTCCCAGTCCTCGCTGAATGGCAGAGTGAAAAGATGACGCCTAAATCTCGCAAATAACAAAAAAAGTCTCGAAATCGGAAACCGTTCAGAGAAATAAAGTTGAACTTTATTTTCCCGAACATTCTGAGAAATAGTCACTTCGTTGTCTTTTACCCCTTTTTAAATGCATTTTTTTAAAGCAAACATTGTTAATGTGTGTGTGTGTCCGAACCTAGTCTAAGGCTTCTAAGGACAAGGACTAAAGATCTTAGCCTTAGACTAGATATCTCGATCTAGTTTACAAGATTATTATGTTACAGGGCTGCCAACCTCAAAGTTCCCATTTCAGGCAGATTCAGGGTCAGTTTCAGGTAGTTTGGCCCAAAATCAGGTATTACAAAGACAAAGAAGGAAAAAACTAGAATCTATGATCGTTGCCCCATTGAACGCGCTTGCTTTCCGTGATATTGGGTAATTAAATTTTGAAAACTTGTTTGTGCATGCACATGTGTGCGTGTGTGTGTGTGCATGCACATGTGTGTGTGTGTGTGTGTGTGTGTGTGTGTGTGTGTGTGTGTGTGTGTGTTTGTGTGTGTGTGTGTGTGTGTCTGTGTGTGTGTGTGTGTGTGTCTGTGTGTGCACGAGCGCATGCTCTCGTGTGTGTTTATGTGGGGAGGGGAAGGGGGTGTTTGGGTGTGCACAAGTTAAAATGAACAGTGTGTATGAAATGACGCAGGGTTTTTTGGGGGTTTTTTAAAATCATTTATGGACTATCGTTCAAGGCACTATCATTCAGTATTGAATATGGAATTGAGTGCAGGGTGATTGCCAAAATGACTTCAAAAGCCCTAGCCCATACCAATACAGTGGAATCCTGTTATAACGAGAGGGAGGGGACCGGTGCTAAATGTCCGTTGTAGCAGGATTCTCGTTACTAGGGATCCAGTAATAAATTCATGGGAAATAGTAAAGTAGGCCTAATCTATGAGTTTGGTGTTCTGTTTATTCCTTTTTGTATTTCCACTGATGATGATTTTGTTCAACATGATCTCTAGGTCTTACTTGATCAAAAATCGAATCAGTGTTTCTTTCTCTAGCACTAGCAATGTTGACAAATCGGCTTTGGCGATCAGAAAGAAGGGGCTCTGGCTCTAAGCTAACTTGCCCGCTGTGTTGTTCCCCACCCCACCACACCCTGTGATGCATTGCGTCTGCTTGCGCACGTCACACATTCACTCCATCTATCACAGCATTGTGACCTCTCAATCGAGCACCAGAGAAGTGAGAGGCACGGTATGCCTAGATAATCTAGAATGGGCTGGCCTATCATCCGATGCGTTCTGCTTGTCTACGCACGCCCCATTATTGGTTCGCGTGGGCTCTCCCGTTCTTTGTTTCGCTGGATCAGCAACAACGTTCTCAAATGGCGAGGTTTTATATATATGTTTAATTGGTCTGTGTGCTGTGCACAGCAGCAGCAATATTCCGCTAACCGACTCGCGTGACTGTCTGATTGCGCAATAGCAGTACTTACTTTATTTACAAAGATAAAGAAGGGGAAAAAAAAACGGGTTTTAGAATAGTGTCTTTATAACAGACTTTTTGTTGTTTCAGGACTCGTTATAAGTGGCCTCCACTGTATAAACTAAAACATATTTCCTGACACTAGCATAGGACACTGAAGTCCTTAGTGACTTAGGTATGACAGACAATTAATTTTAACTAGTTTTACCCTTAAAATACAAAATGAATCCTGATTTGGGCCTGAGGAGAGGCAAGAAGAACATGAACTGCCAAAACCATGTTCAGTAATCACGCATTTTAAAAAACAAGCAAGACAAAAATCATTTTTATAAAACCTTTATAGTTTGGCTTAGGACAGAGAAAAAAGTGAAAATAAAAGAGAGCGTGTACTGAGAGCCGGAGCTGAAAGGACTGTGGGAGCGTGGGATGTAGTGATGCTGAAAACCTGGCAATCAGTGAATCACTGCATCATGGACTAAGCATTGATTTTTTTCAAAATTCTAAATCACAGTACCAGTTTTTAATCAGCAACAACCCATCATGATGCATATATAGGCATCCAAGATGTAGCTTTCCGAGGTTTGAAAATGGCATTTCCTCATTGCCACTATTCAATTTGTCATCCCTGACAAATTCGAGAATACCAACCTAGAAGAAACAATCAAGCCTCGTGTACGCTCTACTATTTCCTCATTTACGCACTTGATCGTCGAATGTCAAAGTCAAAACCACTTCCACTTATCGTTTTTATTTTAGCATCAGTTTCTTGCACCGCTTCTTTTTCCTTCTGCCGTAGACTTTATTGCATCAAATTCATCCCCTCAATTCCGAAGCCCTGCAAAGCTCCTTCCTACTTTCAATAAACCTTGATTACCCCAACAACCACCGGCCGGTCCTTTACTCATGCCGTACTCACGAACTCTCACAGGTTCATTGACCGGTCACGATGACGGGCCAGACAATCTAGAAATCGGAGGACGTTTGTTGTCTTTTTCTTCCTTTTTTTTCGTCATTATAGTGACATCCGTGAGAATTTATTATCGATTTAACTTGTATGGCGACACTGTGATTTTTTCAGCAAAAACTGCATCATATTACAATTTTTTATTATCTGTAAATCTAACGTTAACAATCTATCATCAGACAATTCTGAGCGGTAACGAAAGCGAAAGTAGATTTTGATTTTCCCAATGGAGTCTCAGTATTATTACACCTAGAATTACACTTCCGCCTGCCGCAATAGCCGCTTTTTCGCATGAAACGTACTCTCAGACTGGAGAAAGCCGAACGTAATTCACAAACGTGACCGGTAAAATAATGAACTCAGTAGCCTTTTCAGGTTTGATTTTGAGGACTTTGTGCATTTTCTCGGGTCTCAATGATTTTTTTTTTCAGATTCCCGGGTAATAAATTCCCGCAGTCTCCCTGTGTAGAATCCTCATTTAGATATATAGTACTGGAAAGTGGCTATTCTCACCCGCCCGGAAGTTCTCGCAAGATCAACTCCTCCCCTCTTCTCTCTCTCTCCGTCTCTTTCTGAATACTGTCTATCAGTGTGGACGATCAAATTGACCAAAACAAAGTTAAAAAATGATGTTAAAACACAAAATTAAATTAATTTGGTTGTCTACAAAGATGCTACGGCTATTTAACTTTTCGAATCGAGCCGAACTACGCGGGTCGCCATTTTGTTTTGCCCGGAAATTCTCGCGCTACTCCTCTCTCTCTTTCATCTCTCTCTCTCTCCACTGCCCACAGACAAAATTGTACGCTTTTAGTAGGCTACAGTTGTAATGGAACGTTTGTTCACGGCACAGAATTCTACAATTTTTCTGTTATCACAGTGTGTGAACGCAAAATTTGGTGAACGCGCACCGGGTGAGAATAGCCACAAGACTCGCCTGCACTATTCTCACTCCGGGTGAGAATAGAGGTGGCCATAGTACTGACAAATTCTCTAGACCAAGACAGATTTTAGAATGTTCTACTTCGATGCCGATTTTCTTTCTACATTCACAATTTTGTTTTCCAGATAAATGAATTAAATGCACAGATTTTCCAGCCGCAGCCAAAACCCGAAGATAGACAAAAAGAAAGAACATGAAAAGAAGGAGGAAGATTATCTATCGTGAGTAGACAACTTTTAGCCAATGTAATGCACATGAAAAACTATTGGCGACCAAACGGCACAGATAGACAATGGTCGAGTGTACGAAATGCGCAATCTGGCAGTTTCTAATACTCTTGTAACTTATTGCCGAGGGTTGCCGTAAATATCTCTGACAAGTTACGGAGGCAAGTGCTGATCGATCTCTCTCTCTCTAACGCATGGAGTTGATATGATCATGCTGCAAGAGCGGAACTTTCGGAATGTACAGATTTACGTAAAAACAAAGAAGAATGGAAGCATTGCAAAACGGGTTATTTCATTTTAAATTCTTCTTTCGGCTCCAATCGCAAATCTGGTAGTTTTGACATCTTCGGTATGGCGGTAGAACAGGCCCAAAATTGGTATCTACCGGAAAAATTGGTAGATTTAGACAGCCCTGAGTTATGAACGTGCTTTAAGAATCAGTTGTTTATCTAATTTTTAGACCCACATCCAAAGATCTGAGAAGATTAAACAGAACGACTTGGTCTTGATTTTTATCTTAAAACAGCGGTAAAACAAAAGAGGACAAGCTACACACTGTGAGTTATTAAGTAAGCCTTCTTAGATCTAGATATCTAGATCTAGAATCTAGATCTAGATATTAGATCTAGGCCTCTATCAGAGCAATCAATTCAATCTGCCAGTGCCAAGTGTCCGTGTGTGTGTGTGTGGCATTATGGCGTGACACCGAAGGTGACCAATCAAAGAGTATTATCGTCAGAAGAACTGACAGTTAGTCTACTTACCCAGGTGGTATAAAGGTACCAAAGACAGTGGCTGGAAACAGTACACAATATTGAACAGAATTAGGTAAGCCCCGAATTATTTACATCACCTACGTTGACATCGTGCGGTTGTAAAGTTTACACAAATCAAAAGAGACGTATTGTTGGCTGTTGGTAAACACGAGAGAAGTCGGGCCCATTAAAACTTGAACTCGAACACGAATATTTTTTTAAATAATCGAGTATCTTCTCAATTCTCCAAACCAAACCCTCGAGGAAATTTAGGCTAATTAACTTTGTTGAGTGTGTGTTGAACCAGAGAGTATTTAAAATCTATTCCACAATTTAAAAAGATTCAACCAACATATATGTTTAGTATTACAACTTCTCTCCCATCTGTGAAAATTTCGTGAATTAGATTTGATGAAAAATGGTGGAGTTACTTAAAAATTTTATAGAAAATCAATATTTTTAGACAACGTGCGGTGCAGGAAAATAAAAGACTGACTTTGTGAGGAAATGGTGGTGACAAACATCGGTACGGGAAAAATATAGGCGTTGGGTTTTAAGGCTATAAAATTTTAATAGTTGTAAGGGAGCCTGAAGAAGCTAAAAATGCCTACAAGTCAAAATGCATAATGTTGAGCCGAATCGGGACTTTTGAGGTGTAGCCCCCCCCC